GGTTCCATTCAGTCTAGCAACTGCTCCAGATATTGAGGATGTTTAAGTAGAACTTATTAGGGATGTTGTTAAAGATTACAATCAGATGGATGGACTTTGAGATCCTTCTAGCCTGGAGATCAGCCTCCTGTATCTGGAGTTCCCTACTTGTAAACCTCCAAAGCAAATGTCCTGGTCTGAAGGGCAGCCATTTGGATCCATGGTGCCATGGTCTGGGAATTCAGAATTGTTTTGATTTGGATAATAATGGGTAAAGTCACACAGCTCTCCATTTCTGACTTGAATACAAGCTAGGGCAGGGGGGTGAGGCAGATGGAAATTAATAATGGGATCTTGGTCTTCTCACACATCTGGAGAGCTGTTCTCTGTGAGTCTGGATGGAATATGTTGGCAGGGACATTTTTTGTACCATATTTATCTCTCAAAGGGTTTTGGCCTAGATTATCTGGGCCTTGGTAGGTTTACCAAGGCAAAAGGAAGCAATGAGTCAAAGATCATTGGTCTGAAAAATCAATTCCCTTATTTTACACCTGGAAACTAAAGCCCAGAAAGGAAAATGGATTTATTTAAAACCATGCAGGAAGTCACATCAGAGCTGTTGAAGCTGCAGTATTCTGACTCCTGGGCCACAGGTATCTCCCAGCACCATTTGTTTTTTTAGCACATTCAGGAAATTTGAACCCCCCTCTGTGCTCGCCACACATGTTATGTCAGGCGGCTAAGGCTTTTTGCTCAGATGATTCATGTTGGCAGTTTCCATTGTCCCAGTGAGCCCTATGACAGATTTGAAATTCAAGTGTGCACATAGCTGTGTACATACCACACACATACACACACACCGCACTGAATCCACGGTCATATTGGGATATCTTAAAACTTCATGATTTATATTTCAGTAATTTAAGGGGTGGGCATTTCCCAAGGATGGAATTTCCCATGCTCAGATAATGGCTGTGGCTGAGAATTTTCCTTTGGCTACACTGCCTTAGGAAGGATCTATTATTCTGACATTATGTGATGTATGTTTAGAATAAACATGGTGCTTGCCTTCCTCACTGGGATGTAGCAGAAAGTGGACAAGGTTGTACTGTGAAGTATTAAGCTCCTAGAAGGCTCCTGCCTAAGAGAGTCCAGTATTACTAAAGTCCCTTTCCTTCCCCGAGGCCTGCTTGAACTGTGTCTTCTTGCTCCGGGCAGGGCCTGGGTCGATGGGCCGTTATCCCGGCCTATAAGCCATACTTGAGTTTTGCATTGATTTACATGTTTATACTGTGATCTTGATCCCAAACATAGACTTGTCACCTCATTCTCATTGAATGTGCCTGATCATTGTAAATTTTAATTCACATACTTGTTCTCAGTGTTGTGTGTGTGTGAAACTCTGTGTTTAATTAACAAGTCACAAATAGAGTAAGAACATTTTAGCACCTTTGAAAAAGTGCTTTTATGATTTCTAATAAATATTTATTTTGCCTTGTTATGATCATAGTTTATCCTTGTCTTAGGTATGCCACCATGAAGACCAAGGGGTGGTCTGTAAAGATCTAGGAATCCTAGAGTGTTGCTTACTCTAAGGCTAATGGGAAGCCCACTTTTTGGACCTGAAATAGTATTATCGGTCCTAGGACAGAGTCAGCACATTGAGACATTTAGGTCACCTTTGTATAGTGTTTACATCTGACAGTGCATTGATGGTCAGTACCCCATTTGAACCATTCAACAATTCCAGAACCAGTTTGAGTCAAAGGAGACTAAGGGAGTTGAAATGAGATGCCCAAGGAATCAGCCAGAAAGTGTTAGCAGTTCAGGCCACATGACCCCCAAGCAGTGCTCTATCCATCATGTCCTGCTGGCTATCAGCTTATTTTGTGTAGATATAAAATCATGGCTCCTCTCGGTGTCCATCGAAAGATGAATGGATAAAGAAGATGTGGTCTATGTATACAATGGAATATTACTCAGCCATTAGAAACGACAAATACCCACCTTTTGCTTCGACATGGATGGACCTGGAGGGTATTATGCTGAGTGAAGTAAGTCAATCGGAAAAGGACAAACATTACATGGTCTCATTCATTTGGGGAATATAAACATTAGTGAAAGGGAATAAAGGGAAAGGAGAGAAAATGAGTGAAAATATTAGTGAGGGTGACAAAACATGAGAGACACCTAACTGGGAAATGAACAAGGGGTAGTGGTAGGGGAGGTGGGCGGAGGGTTGGGGTGACTGGGTGATGGGCACTGAGGGGGGCACTTGGTGGGATGAGCACTGGGTGTTATGCTATATGTTGGCAAATTGAACTCCAATAAAAAAATAAAAAGTAAAAAAATAAAGTAAAAAGTAAGATTTGGAAGAAAAAATAATAAAATAAAATAAAATAATAAAATAAAATAAAATCATGGCTCCCTGTGGAGACCAGAAAATATAAATTCTTTCTGTCCACTTCACAGGATCTTTGTCAGGAAGCAATGATAATACTATCATTACTGGCCAACTCATACATACATGCATTTTTAAAATTCTTTTGAGCTATTTCATAAGGATGGCAGGTTTTAACTTGCCAAGACACTGCTGTGTCATGATGGGTTGCAGAACTTGCAAACAATTTGTTAATGAGTGATTTGCTGCATTTGGTGAATTATTTACTTAATTCAAAAGACTCCTAGAGTAACATCCTTCACTGGGATGTGTCTTCTTGAGTGATAAAGAAATGGGAATTGTACATAATGTACATCCTAGCTCAAATAAGTTTCCATTTATAATCTAGGAATGTGCTATCCATGAGAACATTCTGGGTGGACCAATAGTAAAAGGATAGAAACCTCTGTCATAAGATATATTATGGGAGTGGGATGCCGAGGTCAATGGATACGAACAGTTTTATGGCTCTTGATATTGTGAAAAATCACATTCTTAAAGATATTTTGTAACTTACACCTTTAAGATTGTGTGTTTCCTATTTATAAATAAATCACTTTTCCAATCACATTGGTTATCTTAATAACACAGATCTAGGGATCCCTGGGTGGCGCAGCGGTTTGGCGCCTGCCTTTGGCCCGGGGCGCGATCCTGGAGACCTGGGATCGAATCCCACGTCGGGCTCCCGGTGGATGGAGCCTGCTTCTCCCTCTGCCTGTGTCTCTGCCTCTCTCTCTCTCTCTCTCTCTCTCTCTCTCTCTCTGACTATCATGAATAAATAAAAAAAAAAGAAAAGAAAAAAAAATAACACAGATCTGTAGGTTTGGTGAGTATTCTATCTCCATTTAATAAGTGGAGAAATTAAGACTTGGAAAGACATGGAATTGCACATAAAGGTCACGTTTTTTCGTAGGCCAAGGATCCCAGTTCTCTGAGGTTTACTAGTTAGTGCCAGTCAGTAGTGTCCATGAACTTGTATAACAGAGTGGTCTAAAAAAAAAAAAAACAGAGTGGTCTAGCCTAGCCTGAGTCACATTTAAGAATATGGGGTAGTGGAGTGATGGGCATGAAGGAGGCACGTGATGTGATGAGCACTGGGTGTTACATATGACTGATGAATCGCTGAATATTACCTCTGAAACTAGTAATACACTATATACTAATTAATTGAATTGAAATAAAAAAAAAAGAATATGTCTCATCCAGGTAAAGGGAGTGTAGTGGTGGGTCAGGGTTTCAAGAAGAGGGAACATGTGGGCAAAGACCTCAAGATACTAGGGAGCTTGATGCAGTTGAGGATGGAGGAATCTGTGCAGCCAAATTGCTGGGAGCAAAGGGACAAGTGGCATGAAACAGGGCAGGAGAGGCAGAGGCCAGAGCACGTAGGGCTTGTTCAGCTGTGGTGAGGCATTGAGATTTCATACCAACGGTAAGAGGAAGCCACTAAAAGGTTTTACACAGAGGAATTATTAAATGTGAACATTTCCCTGTTTTTGCAATGGTGTTGCAGGCTTAAAAGGGTGTATCTCACCGCCCACTCCCCCCCACCCCCCGCCCCCAAATCCTTCGGGACATAGGAATGTCTGAAGAGTGTAGAATGAAGTGAATTTCAATTGGGAATGACAGGCACACTCTGGGAGTGGCTGCAAAGGAAGGAAAGAAGACAAAGACATTGGTGGAATATGAAGACAGCTCAGCAGAGGAGGGATGTTTAAGCACACCTATGTAGTCGACCAAACTTTATTGGACACTTACTAGATTGCAGACAATGAAAAAGACATGGATAATGTCTTCAAGATGGTATGGAAGCAGAGAGGGGCAAAGGGGCGGGCCAAGAAGCCTTCACAGATGAAACGAGAGTTGAGGAGCATTTTGAAGGAAGAGGAGGAATTAGAGTGAGGGCTGAATGAGGTAGAGGAAAGAAGGAGAGGATTGTGGGTGGAAGGGCCAGTCTGTGTGAAGGCGTATGGGAATGAAACAATGTGAAGCAGGCTAGAACAGAAAGGACCTGAAGGGCGAAGCGTGTAGAGAGGTTGTGGGGGAGGGATGGACAAATCACAAAAGGCCTCTTGTAGTAGGAATTTGAACTTGAATAACTTGTTATTCTGTGCTGGACACTGTGCTAAGTGCTTATCTGCATCAGCTCACTTATTCTCCACCATAATCCCTAGAGAGGGACACTATTATGATCACCCCCATTTTACAAATGCAAAAACCAAGTCTGTGGATTGTTAGAAATAATCAAAATAGAATAAAACTGAAAGTGGCTAAAGCCAAACAGCAATATGCTTTAGATTAAAAAAAAAATCACATTTAACCAGAAACTGAATACTGTAAATATTGAGCCAGAGGAATTAAGACCTTACGTTGTGAATTTTATAGGTGACTAAAGTTTGATGGAAGAGTAAAGCATTCTTGCCAATGTTTACGTCTGGAAAAAACTGACCCAGAAAAATTGAACTCGGACATAAAACATGAACTTTTGCAGTAGGAGAAGGGAAATTGGTAAAATCTTGAAGGAAGATTGGTAAAACTTGTTCTGTGCAAAAGCTCACTGATGAATTGAACTTTAACTTCAGAATTCAGAAGGAAGAGAGTTTATTGCAATAAAAATCATTTTGTCACAGTACAAAAATATTGGTGCTGAGAAAGAGCTTACTTGTATTTTATAAAACACTGAATATGAAAATGAAATTAGCTTAATGGCGTTTGTTCACTCTGGAGGAACGAGATATTTACATATATCTTTGCTTCGGACAACATTAGTATGATCTTAGTACATACATTTGAAACCATAAACATGGGTTCCTTGGGGTCCAAATCATACAGTAAAAACTCTCTTGACTTGGCCACTGGGGCCTAAGAGAGGAGGCAAGGGAGGCTCCTGCAGGGACTGGAGGGTGACAGAGGCCCTGTTTCAGCCCAAAGACCTTTGAGGAGAAGAATGGTGACAGGGAGGGATTTGGCCATTTCGATCATGGGCGCTTTCTTGAAAGAATGCATGTTGAACCAGAGACATGAGTTTGGGTCACACTTCCACTAGTGTCTGCTGCCCTCTGCTATTTCTGTCTTTACCACCTATGCTACAGGAGCCCAAAGACTTCCTCACATGTTGGCTGGGAACAAGGACAAATGCATTCCCTCAAAATGAGAAGTAACAGTTGGAAGAAATATGCATACAGGTTGGGAAGGAACGTTAGCTTCCCAAGAGGCGTGTGAGATGTCTTGGAGGAGGCTCCTCACTCCCTGAGGTCAATGCAGAACAAGCCCATGTCAGAGCAGTGGTGCTTTGTGTAGGTCACTGTCTGTGGACAAAGGACCATTCAGTTTCTTGATTTACCCTTAATGTCACCTTTATAAATCAGCCCTCATTTCTTGTTCACATTTCATCTTCAAAAGAACAATTAAAAATCTCCTACGGATATCACAACTATTGCTAAAGTTGACAGATGGGTACTTAATACATTATCATTAATTTAAATGTGAAAAATTTTAAAATAGCAAGTCTGCATCATTAGTTTCTAGTAGCACTTATACATTACTTGAAAACACATTTAATTCTATGCTCAAGTTAGTAATATGAAAACACATTTAATTCTATGCTCAAATTAATAATTTTTATATAGTATCCATTTCAATTTTGAAATTTGAATTTAGAAGCTGTTTATTCAGAATTTTAAATTATCAAAGTATGATATAGAAGGAGCTATACAGAAATAAGAAATGCACCTCTCTGAATAAGCTATGTACCTAATATGATACTTTTAAAAGATACTCATTAATTTCTCATTCATTCAGAAAATTTGCCTGAATGCCCACTGTGTGCAACGCACTGGACTAGGTGCTATGGGTTAGTTGAATAAAGAACAATCCTGCCTTCAGGAGCTTACAAACTAATGGAGTTTTTCAAAATACTGTATAACAGGTAAGTAAGAAACGATTCCTAATGTAAAGAGGAACGAATACTTCTTGCACTGAGGATTAGTTTGGTTGTCTTTGCGAAAGCTTCTTTCTTTTCATAATATGCGGCCTCATTTACAAATACTGGGTACACAGTACTGTCTCCGCCCAATGGAATAATCTTCCCCTCAAGAGTTAAAAACACAGGATCCCCAGGGTGCAGCGGTTTCCAGTCTTGATCCTTTCAGGAAACAATTAAAATATATAAGTTACATTTGGGTCTTCCCTCTTGCTTTTAAAGTCTTAAGTTGGGCTCTAGATAAATAACAAATTATAGCATTGTATAAAAAAGGAGATGCCTGAGAGATGTGTTGGGAAGCACATGAGTGTTCTGAGCTGAGACTGAGCCATTAATCTGGGCAGCAGTTGTAAGAGTTGCCCATTTAATTTTTATAACTGGTATGTGTAATTAGAGTTTGCTTCAATACCAAATTTGCCTTAAATGTTGTCAAAGACAGTAGAATATTAAAGGGCAAAACTAAATGTGTGTCTCCCAAAGTGTATATTCTATCTCTTGCTAGCTGAAGTTGAATTCTGTTCAGCAAAATTTAGGAAATATCCATTTAAGAGCCTTTAGTGTGCTGGACATTATACTGCTGGTGTGTGTACCATTATGCCTGCCTGCAAAGGGATTCTATTTGGTTGGAGCTCCAGAGGGGAGGCAGGGATGGGCTGGGGCAAGTCTAAGATAAGGTGAATGTACCCCGTGGTAACAACTGAGTTATCGGAAAGGTCTTGCATTAGGGATCTGGACCGTTGATCCCTCAGACACTAATGATATCACATCACAGGAACCCTAAACCAGTCTTTCCCAAACTCTGACAAGTTTGCAGACGGTGTATGGATTTTGTTAAAACGCAGATTCAGATTCTATAGGGCAGGGGTAGGGCCTCAGAGTTTGTACTTTTAACATTTCCCAGCAGCACCTGGGAGTTTACTAGAAAAGCACAATTTTACTCCCCACTGCAAACTTACTAAATCAAAATCTTCACATTAACAAATCCCCAGAGATTCACAGGCACAACATTAAAATTTGGGCAGCACTGCATTATGGCAATTTTCTCAACCGTGACTGCACATTGTAATCACTTGGGATGTTTATTTATTTTTTATTTTTTATTTTTATTTTTGGGATGTTTAAAAAATATAGATTAGGGATCCCTGGGTGGCGCAGCGGTTTGGCGCCTGCCTTTGGCCCAGGGCGTGATCCTGGAGACCCGGGATCAAATCCCACATCAGGCTCCCGGTGCATGGAGCCTGCTTCTCCCTCTGCCTGTGTCTCTGCCTCTCTCTCTCTCTCTGTGTGACTATCATAAATAAAAAAAATAAAAAAAATAAAAAATAAAAAATATAGATTAGTAGAGGGGCTGGGTGCATTACAGATGCATGAAATCAGCATCTCAAGGGCAGGGCTCAGGCACCATTAATTAAAAAAAAGTTATTTCAAAATTTACGTACAACAAAATTTATTCATTTTTTGCATAGCTCTATGAGTTCAGACATAGGCATAATATAGAGTCAGGTAATCATACAATATGTAACGAAGGTGCATGGTTCTACCACACGCCTCCTTTGCTACCCTCACACTACTTATTTATAGGTCACTATTGGTTGGTTTTGTGTTTTATAGCCCCAGGTGATTCCGCAGGACAGTGTGTTGGAAACTTCTCTGGAGCAGTGATTTTCAGCCAGAGATGTGCTTCTAGAACAAGTGACGCTGCTTCTTTGCCACACCTGTGGGAATTCCAAGGGTGTGCAGGGCTACCCAAACCTAAGCCACATGAACATCACCTGGTGAACCTAATGCATTTCCTGTGTCCACCTTGATGAATTAAATCAGAATCTCTGGGGATGGGACCTGGCAATCAAGATGTTTTCAAAGCTCCTCATGTGATTCTCCTGCAGCCCAAGTTTGAGAAGCACTGCTTTGGTAGCTTTTGTAACAGGTTCCAAGCCTTTGGGGGTCTATCCTCTAGATCACTCCAGTGAACATCCCTGATTGAGAACTCCATCACTCTTAGAGCAAAACCTGGACTGTGTCTCTAGCTCCAGAGTCTACTGTCCTCTCTGTTCATCCTACTACTCCATTGACACTGGTCTTGCTGTTCCTCAAACACACCAAGTCTGTTCCAGCCTTAGGGCCTTTGGACTTGTCTTCCACGTGCCTGACTTCTCATGGTTCAGGTTCCAGATTCAAAGCCGTCATCTCGGAGCTTTTTCAGACCATTCCATCTAACAGGAACCCTCTGTTAGCCTCTATTACTCTGTTTATTTCTCTTATAGTACTCATTACAATTTGAAATGATCTGGTTTATGTGTTGTTTACTTATTCATGCTCTGTTCTCCCCTGATTAGTACGCAAGCTCTGTGAGGGACCTTGTCTATCTGGAATCTTGGGGCCCAGAACAGGCTTAGTAGTCATTCAAATATACTTATTGCAATAATTAATGAACCACTTGTTTCTTGCAGAGTACTCAGCCATCAGATCAATACCATCCTTCCTTTCAAGACCTACTACTAACCCTGTTTGTTACTGATCTCTGCCTCACTTCTCAGCCTCTACAGCATGATTTTTATACTCTTCAAGGATCATTGAGGAATACAAATATCAAAAACAAAAATCCTGTGCTGTAGCCAGTTATGACACCTACATCTTGGCCTGTTTCTGCGCTTGCTATTTTTGTTACCTGTAGTGCTTCCTCTCTCTCTCCCTCAATCTTTATCTTTCTTTCCTTTAAATCACTGTGCCCCTTCTTCTGGTTTCTACCTGGATCCCACTAAGCCACAAAGCACAATTTGCTCCACTTGTCTGTATTTTTGGGCAGGCTACTTTATTAAGTTGTAAGTCTGGATCAGTGGCTTTCTACCTCGATTACCCAGGCCAATAAGATCAGATGATCTGAGTGGGATCCTGGCACCGTTATGTCTCAAAGGCTCTCTAGGCGTGTAGAGCCAGAGTTGAAAGCCCCAGACTAGATAACCCGCCAGGTCTCTTCCATCTCTGATGTCTGAGGGTGAGTAGGGGACTCACGATGGGGACAGATGTTTTAGGTTTTGGAATCCTTGCTCCTCCTTTTTTCTACATTTACCTTTTCCAGATTTAAACCTCTGACACCCTCCCAAGAGCCTTTTGTTCTCCCTTAATTATGCAATAATTGATCAAACAAGACAAGGAAGAGATACTGGGGTTCTGAGGAAAGTGAGGAATGCTGGCAGAAAACACTGCAAAGAAAGAGGTTCTGAGTATTTTGCTCTAACCTATTCAGTGCTGATCACAAGGAGGTGGCAGCAACGTGGTCAACTGCAAAGAACATTAGTTCTGGATCTGCCACTGATAGCTGTATGACTACGGGAAAGATCTAATTTCTGAACCTCTGTTTTCTTTTCTTTCTTTCTTTTTTTTTTGAGTGTAGTTGACGCACAATGTTACATTAGTTTCAGGTGTACAACATAGTTTATACCTTATGCCCTGCTCACTGCAAGTGTAGCTATCATCTGCCACGATATAGCCCTATCACACCTCCACTGACTATATTCCCTGTGCTGTGCCTTTTATTCCACGATTGATTCATACCATAACTGGAAGCCTCTGTCAGCCTCAGTTTTCTTGTGTTTAAATAGATAAAATAATTCCAAGTGCAATGGGCAGGAATTTCACCTTCTCTGAGAGGCCTTGTCAGACCCCTTCCTTTCTACTTCATTATTCTGGTATAGCATCTGGTTATCTTGTTTTCCAAACCACAGTTTAGAGTTTGGGATATCAATACCATAAATACCACAAGAGTATAGGCCATGTGCGCAGATGTATCCCCAGAGTTAGCCCAAGCTCTACTCGATAAACATTTACTGAATGAAGGTCTGAATACCCTACCTACACTGCAGTGTTTTTGAGAACCCAAATGTGCTAATGTATGCAAAATGGATTATAAGGTGTAAAGTTCTATTTGGGGACATCTGGGTGGCTCAGTGGTTGAGCGTCTGCCTTTGGCTCAGGTCATGATTCTGGAGTCCCAGGATTGGGTCCTGCATCGGGCTCCCTGCATGGAGCCTGCTTCTCCCTCTGCCTGTGTCTCTGCCTCTCTCTCTGTGTCTCTCATGAATAAAGTCTTTAAAAAAATAAAGTTCTTTTTGAAAGTTGGGTCTCATTATTTTGAATGTTAAACAAAAAAACAGCAAATGCTACCTGCAGATTAGGGTGGATCAGAGCAGCAATATCTCCATTTTCATTCCTGGGATAGTCAACTTTCTCCATTATTTTATAGACTTCAATAGCACAAGGAGGAAATTCTTTTCCTATGGTGAAAACAATATGTATAATTAGTGACTAAAAATGCTTCTTGAAAAAAAGGAAGTTGACACTTTAGGGAACAACAGCAACCAAACAATGAAGATAGACAACTACAGGAAGAACATACCATGTTAGTTAAGGATATTCATAAACAACATTTGACCAAAAAAAGTTCTCAAACTATTTCTATTAGTACACTGTGCACAAACACACTAAAGGATAAATGTAGAAAACAGAACTTGAGAAGCCAGTGTAGGAGAAAGGGAGGCTAGGATGGGAGTCAGGATACCCAGGCTTTAACCTAGCTGTGCAATCTCAAGCAAGATGCTTCCCTTCTTGAGGCTCACTTTCTTCACCTGTCCAATGAAAGTTTTGAACTACCTTATCTTGGAGGCCCTTCCAACTCTGACATTCTATGATCATAGAACCTCAGGAGGATTTCTGGCAGGTTAGATGACTTCAGCAGCAGACCCCATGTCTCTTAACTAAGTATTGTGAGACCTCAGGATGCAGGCAGCCTGCCAATAGTGGGGTCCTACTTCCAAAGATGCAGCAACATTAAACAGCCCAACGGCCAGAAACTTGGAAAAGGAGTAGTTTACGTGTATGTCAGACAACTCTGAGCAACCAGGACGACCCGATACTGTACTATGTTTGCAACTCAAAGGAAAATCTTCTTTTGTCTTTAGAGCAGAAAGCGCAGCCAGGATTGGACTGTGGAGATCCTGTGATCGCTTCTGTATCAGTTAGCTTTTGCTGCTTCACACACTACCCCAGAACTCGGTGGTGTCATATGGTGACCTTCAATTTAGCTCATGGTTCTGCGGGTTGTTTGGGCAGTTCATCTGGTTTAGGCTGGCTTGCTGATTTCTGACTGGCTTGCTCATGCATTTGTGATGTGCTGGCAGGTCAGCTGGGGGCTGGATGACCTATGATGTCTTACTCTCATGTCTGGCATTCGACAGGCTGTCAGCTGGAGCTAGGGTGTCTGAGTTCTTTGCTTCATCACCTCCCATTATTCAGCAGGTGAGGCTAGGCGAGGCTGACCCACGTACTGGCAGTACAGGGTGCCTAAGGGGAGCAAGAGAGTAAGCTCTAGTGCACAAGTCCTTTTCACATTTCTCCTGTGGCACAAAACACATAACACAGCCATGCCAGATTCAGCAGGTAGGGAAATAGACTTCATTTCTTGGTAGAAGGATCTAAAACACCGCATTGTAAAAGCACAGACTCAGGGAACAATTTGTGGCCATTTTTACAATCTACCCATTCTCCAGGTGAAGATGGAAACTTATTAGGTGTCATCTCCTTAAAGCAGAAGGTCCATGGGAGGAAAGGAAAAAGTGCTAGAATACAAAGGAGCATGTTTTTGCTACTTCAAATCTCAGAGTTCAAAGGAGCCTCAAATGCCCAACTTCATCAGTGCTTGAGTCTTCTCTCTATCTTTCCAGCCAAGTGGTCATCTTACTCTGGCTTGGACAGCCTCACAAAGTGTGGTCCATTCCATTGTTAGCGTTGTTGTTTCTAGGTAACTTTATCCCACTGATTCTATTCTGCCCTCAGAGTCACAGAAAACATCTAATTGTTTTCCAATATAGTACTTCTAAAACTTTAATATAAAATCTTCTTTTGCCAGTCTGAACACTCTTATTCACTATTCATATGTGGTCACATTCACGAGCTTGTGTGGGAAGGTGCTTTGTAAACTGACGTTTTATGCACGTCTTAGGGATTATTCTTATTACAGTTTTCAAACTCTTTAGCATTCTCAATTTTCTCCTTGGCCTACCTCTAGTTCATAGATGCTCCTCCTGAAATATGGACTCAGAATTTATTCACGGTTCCCCAAGTGATGTTTATTCAATGCAAAAGAGAGACCATCATCTCCTTTATTCTGGGCTTTTTTTTTTTTTTTTAACAGAAAAGCAAACTTTACACCTGAAATGTACTTAACTTAAAACATTTGCTTTGGGCAACTGCTAAAAATTGTCAGGACTTTTTGGGTCCACCTCTTGACCGTGGATATTTTCCTGCAAGCTTCCTGCCACCTTTCATTTATATATAAGTATGTCACATATATCTTTATCCAACTTACTAATAGTTTTGAGTAGCACAGAGTCAAGGATGGAGCTCTTCTGCACATTTCTAGAGATTTTTCTCTAGGTGGTTATCCCTTTGTCAGCATTCTTTGGATTATGGTGCTCTTTCCATGTTAGTTAAAAATCCACCAAACTAGAAAGTCAAAATTAATAGTGGTTTAAAATTTTTGAATTGCAGAATCCTTTGCTTAAGTGAAATGTTATAGGAAAGAGCAATAAAACAGAACTGCTCTGGAGCTACTGTCCTGGAATGTCCCAGAGCTCCTAGAATAGCTAAGGGATCCCCAACCCCTGGGGTAGAAGTCTATGGATTGTGATTTGGAATCCATGTTTTCCCATTCAGATCTGTGGCCTTCTACCTGGATACATAATTTCTTAACATATTGTAGTCCCACACTTATTATTTGAAGGGTTTCTTGTGAATTAGTGGTTGCCTTCCCAACAACAGGTCCATTTGAGGCTATAGACCCTCTTCTCAGATAAAGATGGTAAAAAGCTGATTTTCAGTCTTTATGACTTTGGAGTCAAAGGATTCCCAAGTACAGAAGAAATTCCTGTGATTGCATAGGGTGCACAATCTACCGTTAAGGAATTATATGCCCCATGACACTGAACTATTCTCCAGCTTTGTCTCTATAATGACCCACTCCATAATAATTTCAATTCAGCCTTCTGGAATAATTATTTACATAGTCTCTCTCTTTCTCTCTTTAAATAATTTTTTTAAGTTTTAAAAGTTTTATTAAATTTTTTAAGTTTTAATTCCAGGATAGTTAATATAGTGTTATATTAGTTTCAGGTCTCTTTGGTTTTATTTTAATTACACCTTATTCTAAAAACAAAAAAATTACACCTTATTTTAAAATTTTAAAGTAAATTTATTTTTAGTAATTAATAGACCTTTTCCTGCAGTTTTAGGTTTACCAAATAAATGAGCAGATAGTAGATTTCCATATATGACTCCACCACCAGCCTCATTTAATTATTTTTTAATTACACAAATAACACATGAATGCATCATTCACTTCAAAACAGAACAAAATTAACATGTTTTTTCCTCCCCTCCTCAGTAATCACTGTTACCAGTTTGGTGTGTTTTCTTCTAGGACTTTTCCAGTGCATTAGCATATACATAAGTATTCTAGTAAGCATTTATCATTATTATTCTGAAGAAAATTGGTATGCTGCATGTTTTGGTCTGTAGCTTGCTTTCTGTAATTAACAATGTATTTTGAAGATCTTTCCACATTAGTTTATTGAATTGCTCACCAATGGATCAATATTCAGGTCATTTATATTGTTTTCCTCTTACTAGTGAAGCTGATACCCACCCTTGCATATGACCTATTGGGTATCCATGTGCTTGTGTTTCTTTGAGATATGGAATTGCTGGGTCATAGGATTTGTGCATTTCAAAAAGTTGATGCTGTAAAAATTCTCTCTAAAGTGTCCTTACCAATTTATACTAGCATAGATGAGAGCACCCTCTTTTCCTATGCCTTTACCAACAGTTAATATTATCAGATTTTCATATTTTTTCACTCTAATGGGAGAGAATAGTTTCTCATTTTAATTTGCATTTCTCTGATTACTAGTGATATTGGACACCTTTTCATATTTAATGGACATTTGTACTGGAAATTAGTAGGAAAATGAGAATTTTATTTGGGGAGCTTTACCTGGTAGCTGCTTTTCTTAAATGTGTCTATTCTAGTCATTGAGGAATGGCTGAAGTGAATAACATTTTTAAAAAGCATCTATTACCGGGGGGGAGGGGCAAGATGGCGGAAGAGCAGGGTCCCCAAATCGCCTGTCCCCACCAAATTACCTAGATAACCTTCAAACCATCCTGAAAATCTACAAATTCGGCCTGAGATGTAAAGAGAGACCAGCTGGAATGCTACAGTGAGAAGAGTCCGCGCTTCTATCAAGGTAGGAAGACGGGGAAAAAGAAATAAAGACACAAAAGGCCTCCGAGGGGGAGGGGCCCCGCGAGGAGCCGGGCTGAGGCCGGGGCGAGTGTCCCCAGGACAGGAGAGCCCCGTCCCGGAGGAGCAGGAGCTGCACCAACCTTCCCGGGCGGGCGGAAAGGGGCTCGCAGGGAGTTGGAGCAGGACCCAGGAGAGCGGGGATGCCCTCGGGCTCCCGGGGACACTAACAGACACCTACGAGCGCAGGAGAGCGCGCGGAGCTCCCTAAGGGCTGCAGCGCGCACGGCGGGGCCGGAGCAGCTCGGAGGGGCTCGGAGCGGCTCCGCGGAGGGGGCTGCGGGGCGGGAGCGCGAATCCAGCAGCGCAGGCCCCGGAGCACAGGGCGCCGGGACACAGCCCAGGATCCCGCCTCCCCCGGGACAGGCAGAGGCCGGGAGGACCCAGGACAGCAAGGACGCTCCTGCCCCGAGCTGAGCAGATCAGCGGCCCCGCCCCGGAGCCTCCAGGCCCTGCGGACGGAGAGCCGAGAGCCCCGAGCCCCGTAGTTCCTGCGGAGGCTGAATCCAGGCTTCCAGAGCTGCCACAGCCACTGCGGCTGTTCCTCCTGGGGCCCCCCGGGGTAAACAACCCCCGCTGAGCCCTGCAGCAGGCAGGGGCAGAGCAGCTCCCCCAAGTGCTAACACCTGAAAATCAGCGAAACAGGCCCCTCCCCCAAAGACCAGCTGGACGGACCAGTGATACTCCCCCGTGTTCCAATACAACTTGTTTTTGGCCACTCTGCACTGAGCAAAATGACTAGAAGGAAAACCTCACTTCAAAAGAAAGAATCAGAAACAGCCCTCTTTCCCACAGAGTTACAAAATCTGGATTACACTTCAATGTCAGAAAGCCAATTCAGAAGCACCATTATACAGCTACTGGTGGCTCTAGAAAAAAGCATTAAGGACTCACGAGACTTCATGACTGCAGAATTTA